AATTCACTAAAACCCTCTTGAGCTCCCTGGGTGATTTTTGTCAGGGGAGTAAGGACAGATCCCGTAGAGGGAAGTGTTCGCCAAGCGCCGAAGGCGGCTGTGGCGGTCTGAGACAGAAGCCCGATCGGGAGTCCCCTTTGGCGCTGTTCAGTGGCAAACTTTCCTTGTCCACTAAGTTTTTCAAGAGTCCAAGATGCAGAATTGGGGTTTTTTAAATTATTAGCAGCCGTGGCCTGACAGCGGTTGAGAAAGTCGGCCTTCCATGAGAGGAACTGTCCGCGAGAAAGGACCGCCTGTACTAGTTTGACCCATTCTCCGGGGAGCAGGTAGCCGCCCCCTGAGGCTGCCTCTAGGAGGGAGAGGGGAGTAGGTAAGAAGGTGTGCATTGGACCCATACGTCCTTTAACAGCAGAATTTAATTCTTTTAAAGTCTTAAGTTTTAGTTGCGGAACCTCGAGTGGGCTCTGCAGTGGGCCCCGGGGACTGCGGCCTCCTCGGTGGGTCATCACCTTCACTTTCCTTTGCTTTCTTCTGGTATCCTCATTATCTGAATCCTTGGGGCCGGGACTGGCTAGCGAGAAGGGGCGGCAAGGTCTCCTTGCCTATTAGACCTGTAACTACGGATATGCTATGGGCTTTATGGGAGCTTTAAGGATTTTTATTTAAGGTGGCGTATGACTGGGGCAGTCTCATGATGTGGGTGGTAATAGCACGAATCTTTAAGCGTATTCTTGGAGGGGAGACAGTCTTTGGAAAGCTGGGCAACTCTTTTTGAAGTTGTAAGATACATCCTTTAATTGGCATAACCCTTGACTTAAGTCTTCTTGGCACACAAACCGTAGGGCCATTGTAAGGGAGCATTAACGAGGTGCACAATTTGGGGGCACGTACGGAGGAGGGCATTCGGGATCGTTATACGGGCCGCTTCCTCTCCGAGGGGTTGCCTTTCTGCGGGTCGAAGGGACTCTTGGAGGGGTTGTTTCTTGAACCCCCACCGCGGTAATTAAATGCATGAGGTAGCTGTCCGCTCGGTAAGTGAGGGAGGGATAGGGGTCTAGGTGTCTGGCTACTAATCCAGGGGCTCGTCCCAGATGGTCTGGAGCTCACGCCGAAGGGTCCCTGAGGGGCATAATTAATACAAACCCAAGGAGCAAGGGTAAGGGCATGTTGGTATCTCTTCAGGATTATTAGGGGGAGGTCGACCTTTGGGCCGCTCTAACGAGTTCTCGAAGCGGACCGCAACACGGTGTAGGAGGCAAAAATTCCGCTACGAGAGAGTAGCTGCTTCTTATTGGGGTCTGAATCTGCCCCCCTCAAGCAATATCTCTGATTAGTCCCCAGTACGAGGAAACACTATAGTAAAGGGACGGCATCTGGGCCTTGATTCGCAGAAGGTAAAATTTGTTTAAATCTCTGGCCTACCTTCTGCCATTTGCGTGGGTGGTATCTCGCGTCCACCAACAATAAACCAAGTGGACAAGCCATGATCATGATACACAAAAAACCTTTACTAGATCCTTTTCTTAACTCTAATATTCCTCTCTCTCTGAGTGGAGGCCTTGAGATCCTTGATAAAAACTGGCCTCTTTAGACAATAGAATGGCCCATCTCGATGGGGTGACAATGTAAAATTTACTCTCGCGCGTTCTCTGTGCAGCAGCAGAACGAGGGTCTTCGTACGGGTTCCTTCGGCCGAAGAGCGCACCACGGCGTTTCATACCGACGAAAAGGGTCGCACACCTCTCGGGCCCCCCACGTTGGGGCGCCACTTGTTCGCCGATCCACGGGACCTTCTGTTACTACGCAGGGGTCAAGGGACCTTGCCTGAAAGAGTTATGGGCGAGAGAATAAGGCAACGAACCCGAAGCAAGATGGTTGTCTAAGGTCTGCTTAGCTTAGAGTCTTAGTAGGGTTTTTATAAGCATCACAGCGAAACAAGGGAAGTAGAAACACAAAAAATAGGAGTGGGCGACTTGATGATGAGGGTTGTGGTCTGGGTTAATCAGCCCCAATCAGCGTCTTATCGGTATCCTGGTTTTTTTTGTTTTTTGTTTTTTGTTTTTGAGACAGAGTCTGGCTTTGTTGCCTAGGCTAGACAGTGTGTCGCCGTGAGGTCAGCCTAGGCTCACAGCAACCCTCAAATCCTGGGCTCAAGTGGCCTTCTTCAGCCTCCCAAGTAGCTTGGGATACGGGCATCGCCCCACCCAATGCCCGGCTAATTTTTTTGTCTACATATGAAATATTAGCTTGGCCAATTAGTTTCTTTCTATTTATAGTATGAGACGGGGGTCTTTTGCTCTTGCAGGCTGGTTTCGAACTCCCTGGAACCTCGAGCAATCGCCCGCCTCGGCCTACCAGCGAGCTAGGATTACAGGCGTGAGCCACCGCGCCCGGCCCGGTATCCTGTTTTTGACTGCTTACTCAACTCCAACCTGGCAGGTGGTCGGGAACAATTGCAGTCAGCACTCCCTGGAGCATCCCATGGTCAGCACGTCATGGAATGCATTCTTCTTATAGCTGGAATTTTCCAGGGCGAAGTCCGTGCGTAGGACGAGTCATAGGGGAGTTGAGGGTCTTTGAGGGTCCTTGCCTCTAACACCAATGGAGGTGGTGATGAGTATGTAAACCAAAATGGCAATACAGGGTGGCAGATGATCGAGACATGTAATACCTACATAAAAAGCTTAGTATTTTGGGAGTCCAGTGGAAGAATGTGCTGCAGCCACACGCTGTGAACAATTCTTGTTTCTCTATGCCCTTCCCCCTGGCGACGTGTGTCAACTCTTTCTCAGGAATTCCAGACCAGGTGAAGGAAACTACTGGAGAGATATAGCCAAAAAGAGTTTGCCAGGGACAAAACAAAAAGTCTTCAGTTTTGACCTCATTTATAAAGTAATTACTTTAATAAAATAGACAATTCACCAAGAAGATATAACAGTCCTAATGTGTATGCTCCTAACAAGAGAGCTTCAAAACAGATGAAGCAAAAAAATGATACAACTGAAAGGAAAATTGTTAAATTCACAATTAAAGTGGGAGACGTCAAAACTCTTCTCTTAGTAATTGATAGATCAAGTTGACTGAAAATCAGCAGGATATAGAAGAACTGAACAAAACCATCAATCAACTAGATGGAACTGACATTTGTAGAACGCTCCACCCAACAAAAACAGAGTTCACATTCTTCTCAGTGAACGTGGAACACTCAATAAGAGAGAGCATACCCTGGGTCACTTCATGGGAAGAAAACTTACCATATTTAAAAGAATTAAAATCACGCAAAATGTGTTTAACCCAAATGGGATAAGTCTGAAATAAAAAACAGAAAGATGATAGCAAGTAAGGCTATTCATAAAACGACCTCGGTCTATTTTTCCAGCCTTTTCTTCCAAGTGCTTTACATTCCCGTTAAACCTTGCCACTCTTCAAACACACTGTGCTTCCCATTCTGTCACTGTGTTAGCGTCCCCAAGACCAACCTAGGTTTAATGATTTGCCAGGAGTGCTCACAGGACTGGGCACGTACTCACACTCATGGCTGACACTTATTACAGGAAAAAGTCGCAGAGCCAAATCAGCAAAGGCGCATGGAGGAAACCAGGCACGAACTCCCAGGAGTTCTCTCCCAGGGGTAGGTGCGGAAAACACTGGGCCTCTGAGTTCAGATAGACCTGAGTTTGGATGCTGACTTCATTTAGAGTTGTGTGTTCTTGGTCATGTTTCTTAGCTTCTCTGAGCCTCAGTTATCTCATCTGCAAATTTGCTGGAAGTATGGAAATTACTGTATGCAAAATTAGCTTGGCAAACAGTCCCTGAAAGCACTTCATTTCCTTCCTCTCTCCTTTCTATTTTAGAAGGTCACTAGGCACACAGGATTGATTTGCCTTTTTTTTTTTTGAGACACAGTCTTGCTCCGTCACTCAGCCTGGAGAGCAGTGGCATCATCATTCCTCACTGCAACCTCCAAGCCCTGGGCTCAAGCCATCCTCTTGCCTCAGCCTCCCTAGTAGCTGGGACTACAGGCCGGCTCTACACACTCCGGGCCATGTTGGCGAGGGAGGCAGCTCGGGGGTCGGGGACATTGCCCAAGCTGGTTTCCAGCTTCCGGCCTCAAGTGATCCTCCTGCTTCTGTCTGTGAAAGTGCTAGGATTACAGACATGAGCCACCAGGCCTGGCCGATTTGTCCCTCTAATTTTAAAATTACCTTGACTGCAATTTAGCAGTGTCAACCACTCCCCCTTTCCCCCATTTTCCTTCTGCTGTTCTGCAGTCAATCTGTCAATCAACTCGGATTTGTTGAATTGAGCCCAGGAGCTCGGGAATGCCGGAGACAGAGTGTCATCTGGCCAGCTCAGTGTCAAAGCTTCAAAGCTAAATCGCAAAGAAATTAAATACATCCGGGTTCCACAAAACAGATTTCATACCTCCGGCTGTGAAGCAGGGCGCCGGCACCTGCGTAGTCCGGGGCTCCATGGTCTGCGCTGCGGCCTCAAGGATGGAAAGAGCTGGGTGAGTGAACCGACCAAGGAGGGCGGGAGGCCAGGGACACGCGTGAGCAAAGACCCTTCATGCTGCGGGGACACCGAGAGAAATGTGATGGTTAGGGCAGACAGTTTGTGATGAAAGGCTGGGGACGAAATTCGGGTAGGTAACCTGCAGACACATTCCCAAAGGGAAGAAAAACTTGTTTTTCCCACTAAACAAATTAAGTATTAAATAATTCTCTGCAAGTGCATCTTCCTGCAACAACTTAATTTAAAAAGCAGTTGGGTGCAAATGGGCCTAGGGGATCTTTTTGGGAGTAATAAAAATGTTCTAAAACTGTATTGTGGTGATGGTTTATACTTCAAATGGGTGAATGTTATGGTATGTAGATTATACCTCAATAAATCTGTTTTTTCAAAAAAAGATAATTTTTTTTTTATTAACTGATTTCCAATTCGTGCTAGATCTATTGTGATTTCTTTTAATCCCTGTTGCTCAAAGTAGACCCTTGGTCCATGTTTTCTGAGTGAATGAATGTTTCATAGGCAATGGAATTAGATACCGGGACAATTACATATATTTGATTTTCTTCCTCATCAGTTTTATACTTAGGCCACAGAGAAAAATTTTCCATTAAAATTCATGTTAAATTTTGGGGGAAATAATCTCGATTTATAAAACCCTGTTTTCTGAGAGCAGAGCTCTGGAGGTGCAGCCACGGCATGCACCTGCTCCACGTGATTCGGGCTGAGGTCTGAGCGGACAGAGGATGAACCTGGGGAAAGAAACTTCGCCAGCAGTCCTGTCAGCCGCTTCTCATGTGATATTCTTACCCGTGGGAGAAAGCAAGTGACAAAATAAAGAAGCAGCTATGCTGAAATTATTAACACACGCAGGATGACAAGTCATGAGAAGGAGCCATCCCAAAGCCTTGCTGGCCTGCGTGTAAAAACAAGAATCAGACGTCCCGGCCCGCGCAGGCGCAGACAGCGGCTCGGCCAGACGCGGCGCTCTGCTGACCCCTAGCGGCCGCCCGACGAATGGCAGGTGTGAACGCGGGAACCCGGGTCGGGTGTAGCTTGTCGGATTCTCCCGGAGAACAGACTCGTCCTAAATCGCTTTGTCTGTTTCTTCGTATGTTTCAGGTCCTCTCGGGGCTGCTGGTTATTGTTCTAGGGCTACAAACGATAGAAAAATAACAGGTGACAAAGGTCAAAATGTGTAAATAAACCAAGTCGATCCGTGTCGGCATCTTGGGTCTCTTCCTCCTTGTCCTCACTCGCTGAAGCCGTGTCTACACGCCCCGGGCAGAGCCGCGCCGCGCCGTCTCCGTGGGGGCCCGGCCGGCATCCCCCCCGCGGCGCCCCCTGGGCGAGGGCCGAGCGAAGTCCGCGGAGCGCCCCCGCGTGGCCCGGGCTGCAGGCCGGCCGCGCCGCGAGCGGCATCTCCACGGGGAGGCGGCGGCCGCGGGCGCTTGCCCGGCACAGGTGCGGCCCGAGCCCGCTCCCCCAGCTCTGCGGGGGGGGGGGGGGGGGGGTGTTGACCTTCGACCGTCTCCTCCGACCTTGACGGGCAGGCCCGGGAGGCGGGAGCACGGCGCGGGGAGCACGGCGCTGTCGCCACTGGCACCTGGGATGGGGACACACCTGGGGGGAGCGGGCTGCGGGGAGCTGGCCGGCCCCCTAGGACAGCCTCAGGGTCGCGCCGCGACAGCGCCCCCTTCCTTCGCCGACGGAAGCTCGGTTCCGACCAGCGCAGGGCGAGCCCGCCCGCCTCCCGGTGGACCTGCGCCGCTCAGCGCCCACACCTGGCGAGGGCCGCACCGGTTTCTGCCGACCCCGCGGTCGTGGCGGCCGCGCTCCTCCCGCGGGGGGGGGACCTCGCGTGGCGGCCGCGCTCCTCCCGCAGGGGGGGACCTCGCGTCCCGACCGCGCTCCTCCCGCAGGGGGGGACCTCGCGTGGCGGCCGCGCTCCTCCCGCAGGGGGGGGACCTCGCGTGGCGGCCGCGCTCCTCCCGCAGACCTCGCGTGGCGGCCGGGCTCCTCCCGCAGGGGGGGACCTCGCGTCCCGACCGCGCTCCTCCCGCAGGGGGGGACCTCGCGTGGCGGCCGCGCTCCTCCCGCAGGGGGGGGATCTCGCGTGGCGGCCCCGCTCCTCCCGCAGGGGGGGGGGACCTCGCGTGGCGGCCGCGCTCCTCCCGCAGGAGGGAGGACCTCGCGTCCCAACCGCGCTCCTCCCGCAGGGGGGGACCTCGCGTGGCGGCCGCGCTCCTCCCGCAGGGGGGGGACCTCGCGTGGCGGCCGCGCTCCTCCCGCAGGAGGGAGGACCTCGCGTCCCAACCGCGTTCCTCCCGCAGGGGGGGACCTCGCGTGGCGGCCGCGCTCCTCCCGCAGGAGGGGGACCTCGCGTGGCGGCCGCGCTCCTCCCGCAGGGGGGGGGACCTCGCGTGGCGGCCGCGCTCCTCCCGCAGGGGGGGGGACCTCGCGTGGCGGCCCCGCTCCTCCCGCAGGGGGGGACCTCGCGTGGCGGCCGCGCTCCTCCCGCAGGGGGGGGGACCTCGCGTGGCGGCCCCGCTCCTCCCGCAGGAGGGGACCTCGCGTGGCGGCCGCGCTTCTCCCGCAGGGGGGGGACCTCGCGTGGCGGCCGCGCTTCTCCCGCAGGGGGGGACCTCGCGTGGCGGCGGGCGGGCGGCCTGCGGCCCGGCGCGGCGGGGACGCACGCGGTGACTCGGAGCCGCGGGACGGCGGGACACTCCGGGAGTCGCCGGGCGTCTCCGCGGGAAGGAATCCGACCCGGGCGGGAACTGGCCCAGGTGACGCCCAGGGTCACAGGCGGGCACGGGGGCCAGACACCCCCCAGGGCAGAGCTCGCCCCCGCAGGGCTGCGCCCCCAGCGGCCCGCCTGGCGGTTAGCAAGTGCCGACTCAGCCTGCGGGGAAGCCCTTCTCGGCGGGCGCGCGGCCGCGAGAACAGGCTCGTGCCCGCGGCCCTCGGGCTGGCATCGGGGACGTCCCGCGGACTCCCGTGTGCGGCACTCGCTGCGGCGCTGCAGCGCGCGTCGGTCGGCCTCAGACTGGCGGCCGGTCGGTTGTCTCGAGAAAGTTCTGCTCTAGGCAGATTTTCTCAAGTGGTGTGTAAAATAGACGTGTCTATTTGATGTTAACCCTTTATTCTTTTATAGGTGTGTGACTTTGGACCAGATGAAATTGATGTTGCTTCTGGTCCAGAACAATGATTGAATATTTTTTGTAGTTTTATATGGTTCAACCTAGTGAGTTGGGAAAGGGAAAAAATTTGAAGACTTCTTACTTAGTGAAAGAATTGCTTGTATTGACAGTGGCAGAATTTTCTTGCTTTTATGCACAAAATTTTGCTGTCATTCTGATATTCTAGAAGCTAACAGTCACCTCCAGAACAGAAGTTTAATGTGGGGGAAGGAAAATACAACATACATAGTTCCTAATAACCTGCATGTGGTCTTCTTTCCTCCCTCAGAGGAAGCGAATGTCTTAAAGTGATCAGACAGTCACTGTCATCACACTGAAGCAAACACCAACAGATTAAAGAGACGAGAGATGGCTGTTTCGTCGCTATTCAGTGACGCCACTCAGCGTGTAGTGCTTGAGGTTGCTGACTCTGTCATGTTGGTGTTAGTCTTTACCTGGTTATTCTTATAAAAGTCACAACTCTTGTGTTTTTTCAGCCTTCCTGAAACCTGACTGGGACGCTCATACAACCTATTATAAGTCCACGAGAGAAATTTATAAAAACCTTAGAATAAAAAGAGGCAAAAACCCAGTTTCCTTGGGTTTTTGGTCCTTTGGTTTTTGGCCTGAGAGTTTCTGGTTCATGTCCTGGACGGAAAACATGGGCAGTTCCTTTTCACATGAGCATGCGTGTTCCTATGTGCATAAACATAGAAAACAATAAAATGATCAATTCAATTTCTTTTCATCATTCTATAAAAAAGAATAATTATTTCATGAGCATCTAGATAGTCCAGAATATGCTTATAGGTTTATCAGTGTGGATGTAGTAACACATAAAGCAGTCTATGATATGAGCCAAAAAATCAAGTTACAGAAAATATTAGTATGATCCCATTTTATAAAAACAAAAACTGCACATAATCGTAAACATATTATATATGTACATAATACACATATGGATATTGAAAGATGTTAGAATCTCACACTAAGGTGTGAAATTGGGGAGTAATGACTTAAAATACTTTTTGTTTGCATTTTTTTTAAAATAATGACAGGGTCTTGCTGTGTCATACCATAGTTCACTGCAACCTCCATATCCTGGCCTCAAAGTGATCCTCCTGCCTCAGCCTCCCAAAGCTCTGGAACTACTGGTATGAGCCACTGTGCCCAGCCTTGTTTGGATTTCTTAAATGAACATGTATTTCTTTTATGATAGTTTAAGTTCATATATTTCTACCCTTCAGTTCCATAGTCTAGAATGCTTCTCTGGTCTCTAGAATAAAGCACATATTATAATAATAAGGCATATATTCTGTGTTTTAAATAAGTTGTTATGTAATATTTTTCTTAACCCTTGGCTAATTTTACTGCTAACAGGTACAGTGATGTTTGAGCTTGTCTAGGCCACCATGCCCATTTTTTGGTCAAATGCCCGTCTAGATGTTGTTGTGCAGGTACTTTTTAGAGGTAATTAACAATAAATCAGTAGACTTTGATTAAAGCATATTAACCTCCATAATATAGGTGGGCCTCATCCAATCAAAGGCCTTGAGAGGGGGAAACAAAAACAACTATAGGTTCTCTAAGGAAGAAGAAATTCTGCCTCCCAACTGACTTTGAACTCAAGCTGCAACATCAACTCTTCCATTAGTCTCAGGGAATCTGCAATCTGCCTGCATTTTTCAGACTTGCCAGCCCCTGCGATCGGGTGAGCCAGTTCCTTAAAATAACTCTCTCTCTCTTTCTGTTTCCCTGGAGAAACACATCCTGTTGGTTCTGTTTCTCTGGAGAACCCTGACTGCCCCAGACTGACCCGTGCTTGGTTTTCTTGGATGCTTTGTCGAGACAGCATGATCTTAACGACACTATTTTGGATCTTCCTGCTGCAGCTGTCAGAACTACAGCACTGCCACGTTCTCTCAGCTTTCTGAAGGGGTCCTGTGATTTCACTATAAATGTCACATACACTCAGCAGATCAAAAAAACAAGTTGTATTTTATTAATAATATAAAACAACATTTGTCACTGGGAGCAGTGGCTCAAGCCTGTAATCCTAGCACTCTGGGAGGCCAAGGCGGGAGGAGTGTTTGAGCTCAGGAGTTCAAGACCAGCCTGAGCAAGAGCAAGACCCCATCTCTACCAAAAATGGAAAAAATTAGCTGATAAAAAAAAGAACATTCATCAAAATCAATTGTAGACCAAACAATAGACATACAAATGAATTAATATTATCCAGAACATTTTCTTATCTTTCTCAAAAGAAAGAAGAAAAAGATGCCATTATCCTTTGAAAAATATATTCATGTAATAAATGAAGTTACATGAAAAACCAATAAATTATAGAACTCTTTGAAGCTGACTAGCTGATGTCAATCTTCTGCATGTGGCTATCCAGTTTTCCCAGCACCATTTATTGAATAAGGATTCTTTTCCCCAATGTATATTTTTGTCTGCTTTGCCAAAGATTAGATGACAATAATGAGGATGGTTTTATATCTGGGTTCTCAGTCCTGTTCCAAAGGTCTATATCTCTGTCCTTGAGCCAATACCATACTGTTTTGGTTACTATAGCCTTGTAGTAAAGCTTGAAATCTGGTAGACTGATGCCTCCCAATTTGTTCTTTTTGCTTAAGATTGCTTTGGCTATACTAGGTCTTCTCTGGTTCTATACGAAGCATAGAATTATTTTTTCTAGATCTGCAAAGAATAATCAGTATTTTGATAAGGATTGCATTAATTCTGTAGATCACTTTATGTAGTATGGACATTGTAACAATATTGATTCTGCCAATCCATGAGGATGGTAAGGTTTTCCATTTGTTTACATCTTCTACAATTTCTTTTCTCAGTGTTTCGTAGTTGTCCCTATATAGATCTCTTACCTCCTTCATTAAATATATTCCTAAATATTTAATTTTCTTTGATGCTATTGTGAAAGGTGTTGCATCTTTGATTTTCAGCTTGACTGTTATTGGCGTATATGAATGTCACTGATTTGTGGGCATCAATTTTGTATCCTGAGACTTTACTGAACTCATTTATCAATCCCAGGAGTCTCTTGGTTGAATCCCTGGGATTTTCTAGATATAATATCATATCATCAGCAAAGAGTGAGAATTTGACCTCTTCTGCCC